GTGTGTGTGTGTGTGTGTGTGTGTGTGTGTGTGTGTGTGTGTGTGTGTGTGTGTGTGTGTGCGTGCGTGCGTGCGTGCGTGAAGGGAGATTAACGCAAAAATGGGAAGAGAGGGGAGAGAGAAGAGAGAGAGAAAGCAAGGTATAGGTGGCGCGCAGATGATAAGATTATACATAATATACATAATGTTCAGCGCGGGCAGAGAGGAGCCGAGAAAACCGACTCCCACAACTTTCTTGTACATGTTGACAATAGCAAACCGGCGAGCAGAGAAGAAAACGTAGCAAAGAGATCGGATCGGATTAAAACACGGAGGAGTCGATACTCACCTAGATAATAAGATAAAAACGGTTAATTGTAAACTTGTAAACGACATAAGAGGGAAAAGGACATAGCCAGTATTATAATTGTGTACGTGAAGCGGACGAGCCGGGAGAGTGACCACGCTTTGGTCAGAGTATTTCCCCGGAGTTCGTTTGTTCTACGATCTCGTCGACGGGGACACGAGTCGCTAATTTGGCTGATCGTTACTGTCAATTGGTGTAACATCCAGTAGATTTGATCGTTCTTTCTCAACTGTTTAATACGGTGCAAAGATGAAAAGAAAAAAGGAGAGAGTCGGCTTTACAGAAGTCTGTAAGAATTCTTTCTCAGGACTGTAAACAGAAATTTGTCTGTATCCTGAAATTTGTTTGTTTGAATCCATACTGAGTTGCGCAGAGTCTCTTTTCTAACACTTATCTCAATTGTAATCATTTGCAGTACGTTAATGAGATGTTCATGCGTCAGTAGGCAATTCCAAGACAGTTCAATGACATAATTGTCTTCCGTCTACCATCCCAATATTCAAAAGAAGAATCTCGTTTCAATAAAAAAAAGTGTAGAACTTTACATTCTTCGTTGCACTTACACATCTGTTTTCTGCATAATTTCTTTAATGCATTATTAGATAGAGCTGTAAACCCTTTCTTTGAGTCTTTATTTCAATTTATTCTCTGTGCAAATTATGTGTCTATATTTATGACACTATTCTGCTGTTTCATAACAGTTGATACTTCCTTACTGAACTAGTTATGGTACCCGTGTCGCTGACAGCATCCAACTCTGTATAGTTACTGAACGATGTTTCTTTTTCTTTTTTTCTTTTTCTCGAGGAAGACTAAATCACTTAAAATCTACTGTGTGTTTGTTGCACTATACATAAATATACGTGCAGAGTGAGTCGTCAGACGTTGTCATTTGACAAGCTAGCTTCAGGAAAAGAATAATTTCATTTCATTCGTCGCTGCAAAATGTGAATTTCAATTAATTTCTCTTGTGACTAACATACTCTTCTTCCTGAAATGAACAGGCAAACTGCTTCATTTGACAATTTCCAGCGATTCACGAAGCATGGGATAATAACTTCATTCAGCTGAAATATTTTTGTTAATTCAGATGATATGAAAAGATCTGTTTGATAAAGTACTTAATCACATAATGGAAACAGTTTCTTTGTAAATTTAAATATAGTTGTTCAGAGTTACAAAAAAAAAGTTGCAAGGAAGCTGTTTCCACCAGAAAAACTTTTTCACACTGTTGAAGACTACAGGATTATTTCTGACTGAATGAAGCTGTTCCATATACCAACTCCGTATCGTGCAACACTAAAGTGAACGTTTAACATTTTTGAAGAAGTTATTTATTTTATTTCAAATCGTCAATCCAATCTAAATTTCGTTCTCTGCAATTAAGAACAATCATTTCTTCATGCATCAATGACAAACTTGAAAGCGTCGACCGCTATTGAATTGCTTTCTCAGCTCGTGTCCTCGTGAGTGAATGCAATCTGTACAAATGGCATACGATATACTTATCATATCAGCATTTTTCAACCAAATATTCAAATTCCGAAGCCCAAAGTTTATGAAGAGAAAAGAGGAGAAGCGTTCGTGCTGGAAAAGTCACTGTACCTTGATTTTCAATTCCAACGTATTTTCGAACGAAGAGCCAACCGATACAGCAACGCGTATTTAAATTTCAATCAATGTATCAACTTTATTCTAAGAATAAGTCTCGGGAGTCTCATAACGAGAGCGAAAAAACAAAGAAGAAACAGAAAGAAGAGAGGTACTCTATGTCTAATGTCGATCTGCAAGAATCCACATTGTAAATCTGCAGAGTGCTTCGTCTCTTCAGACTATCATTTCAAATTGAGTTCGAGTAGGGTGAAATTCGATGGAGTTTAACTGTGCTCCTCGTTGAATGATGCTGTTACGATACGAGGATCTATGCGCGTAATACACATACATATTTACGCGTATGCTACCAGCATACTCCAGTGCGCTCTCTTTTTTCCGCACAGTGTGTTAGTTCAATCGGCGGCATCTCGGTAGAGGATGCCACCGGGGGGCGGTGTTTGTTTCGAGTAGCCGAGAGTCGAGGATCATTGTATAATTAATCGTCAGTGTACCATAATTCGCGTAGCCACATCCCCCCCCCTAATCTTATATCGAAACCTCCCTCCCCCCAGACTGTTTCACTGTGTCGTTCGATGTGCAAGCGCCACGGAACGCCGGATCCCTCTTGCATCTCTTCTTTTTCTAAAATCCCACACTGTATGTATCGTGTATTTCGTTCAGTGCTCCTAACTTCAACTAAAATTAGAAACAGTCGAAACGAACATGTTCGAGGACAGAGAGTTTGACAAAAATTTAACTTTGCATATTGCAGAGATTCACTTCTGAACAGTAATGGATTCTCAAACATTATTTTATTAATTGACAAGTTTATCGAATGAAACGTTGGTACGATCGTTTCAAGGATGAAACGATGTACCTTTTGGATAATCTTATTTTCGGTGATCCTCGCGCGTGATAGAGAGATACTTGTCAGAATTCATCGTTGGCGTCCGGCGTTCCACGACGTTCCTAATTTCTAGTAATAACGACGAAATTACCGCGTACCATTAATTATTAATTATACGTGAAAGCACACTGCCGCAATTTTGTATGATTGACTGTTGTTATATATACCTGTACTTACACATTACGCTACGTATACATAATTATTAATTGAGACTCGAGAATCGAACGGCCGATGCACGTCGAACGAGGGACTCCAGAGTGCCAGAGCCTTTGCATCTCCTTTCCGGTTCGCGCCAAAGTCTGAAGAATTAATTGCCAAAAAGTAACAAGTGAATCTCTGATGTTGCGGTGGAAATTTTCAACGACGACGAGGCAGAGGATATATTTTTCTTCCAGAAATCGATGCAAGACACTTTGGAGTTTTTGGTTAATCAAGGTAGATCTGAAGGTCTCGCAATGACAAAACAAATGCAATTCAATTTTGCTTCATTTTTCAGAAGATAGTTGAGCAAAGTTGCAGAAAGTTAGGCCTTCAAACCTCAATTATCGAAAGATACAAAGAAAAACCAAGCGTGTAATTACACTGGACTAGAAAAATCGTTTCCTCGATCATTCTCTGTCGCTGCTCACTTGCCTGATCCATAATTCTGGAACGTCCCGTTTGTTTCTTGAGAGACCGAATACCGCGAGGCGACCGAGAGCAGAATTCGACAATCAGTTCTTTCTTCTTCTTTCTTTTTTTTTTTTT